TTTAGGGAAGCGTGTACAGGGAATTCAGGGTCTCACTAGTAGATCAGACTCATAGTGATCTGCCTGTTTACAGCCTCCCAAGAGCTGGGATTATAGGCGCACACCACCACGTCCAGTCTCAATTGCCTTCTCAGCAGGCCCTGGGAGTGGAACCGGCCCAACAGGCCCAGGGATCAAACCCAAGTCCCCTGTGCCTGCTTGAAGGCACTTTAATCTGCTGAGCTATTTGGCTGGCTGAAGGGAATAAATACATAAAATTCACAAAACCTTTATCTTAAGTATGTGAAACACTGTTTCGGTTATAAGGGAATGGATATCTCCTGGGAAGAAGACAAGTGAAAGGAAGAAGATGATCATGACCGGGCTAAAAACTGTAAATACAACATTTGAGAGCAAACATGGAGTCCAGTGAGGTAATTTGAACCCATTACAACCCTTATACTACTGACTCTTATGTTCTGCCTTAATGCCCTGACACTGCAAAGTAGGAGAAAATGGCTAATATTGTAATTTATTTTTTAAATTCTGAGACAGGATGGCTCTTAATTATTCACACTGGCCCAGAACATGTGATTCTTCTGCCTCTGGCTCCTGAGTACCTGGAGTTATAGGCATCTGTCAGATGTATTTTCTTATTTGACTTTCATTCATGCTAAACAGTTCTATTACTAGCAATTGAGGCAAATCCTATACTAAATCTATCTCTACTTCAGTATGCCCCAATAGTAGAGTTATAATTCAGTTGATTATAAATGAGGTAGATGAAAGCTGTAATGTTACAGCTTTATTTTATTCTCTTTAAAAAGAGATTTGTTTATTTATGAGCAAGGTATTGCAAGAGGTAAGAGACAGGATGATAACAGAAATAATCACCTCCACCTTGTTCAAGATTTATTCAATTCTCATGGCTGTTTTACTCTATTTACTCTAATTACATCAAAGGACACACCCACAAAATGAGTATTTCTAATAATCATAGTCCATAATAAGTCAAAGGATTAATTATATGCTGAACCTGAGTAACTTTATCTGTCAATTAGACAAAATGGTTTCCTGGGGCAAACTCTTACCAATACATTTTTTTTATTATTTTTTATTAGTTTTTGTTCTTTTTTTGACATCAGTTATTTTTATTTTAAAGAAAAAAAAAGTAAAAACAATGGTACAGAATCTCAAAACAAGATTTTAGGAGAGTAACAATGATTAATACATTGTGTATTGTTACTGCCAAAGTAGTTTCTCATATTATAAGATATAGGCAAGAAATGATA